CTCCTGGTTGAATCCGGACTCGGCACTAAGCTACTCTCGCTAGCCGGTTTGCTCCAGGATCCTGTCTTTCTCCCGAGTGCTAGAATCACAGGTTCTGGGATCAGAACAGTGGTCCTCATGCCATGTGGCAAGTCCTTTATCCACCAATCCATCTCCCAACTCTGCTCTTCAGACATTCTGATGTGTGGCGTTCTGATCTCCTGGAAGCCACCTGGAGACTAATATTATTGACTGGGGCATTAACTTTGCTAAGCTTAAGCATGTGTATGCATGTGCGCATGCATGTGTGTATGTGTCTGTCTGTCTGCCTGCCTGTCTTCCTGTCTTGTGTGTGTCCCTCTGTGTGTCTGTCTGTCGGCCTTGTGTATGTGTGTCTTTCTGAGTCTCTCTCTCTCTGTCTGTGTTTGTGTGTCTATCTTGTATGTGTGTCCCTTTGTATGTCTGTCTGTCTCGTGTGTATTTCTGAGTGTGTGTATGGGTGTTTCTGAGTCTCTCTCTCTGTGTCTGTGTATGAAGAATCTTCGTGTGTGTCTGTCTGTGTGCATGTCTGCCTGCCTGTCCCCCTCCCCCGTGTGTGTGTGTGTGTGTGTGTGTGTGTGTGTGTGTGTGTGAAGGATACACCATAGCACAGATTTCAGTAGAAGTGAACCTGAAAGAAAGCAAAGCCAAGGATCTTTAGGTCCAGAGGGGGAAGGAAGAAGGGAGTCAGTCAGGTAGTGTACCTGCTACGAGCTCCCTGTGCCACTAGAAGAGTTGAGCCTCCTGCATCCCTCTTGTCCTGCTAAGCAGAGAGGTCAGCCTCCTAGAAACCAGACCCCAATTTCCTATGGACGTGGGATCACAAATTGAACTTCTGTTCTAGAAAGCTGGTTTTATGCTATTAAAATGTTTATGTGTACATTTACTATAGATAGATAGATAGATAGATAGATAGATAGATAGATATTACAAATAATGATATAAAAGTCTAATACTTAAGCCTAAATCCTTTTGGTCAGCAGAGATGGGTTTGGATCTAACTTCATGCTGCCTTCAATAATAGAAAGGCGAGGAGGTTTGAATCCCAGGTACCCTCTCTCTCTTTCCTGGTGAGTCTCCTCAGAGCCAGGGCATCTGCTTCTCCTCCTAAGCACCTCAGACTGTGAGGAGGATTAGGGTCATCTGTTTGGAAAACGCTTGTCAGTGATTGGATGAGCCTGCACGTTCGAGGTCAGAGCTGGCTCTGGGATTGGGCTTATTTCTAGCTGGGCCTGCTGCTACTCCACATGGCCTGAGCTGAGGGGTCTCTGGTCTGCTTTCCTGGGGATGGAGGAGCGGGTGGTTTCCATGCAGTGGCCCGGGTATCCTGGGTACTTGGGGAATGCCGGTGACTAATGATGAGTTGATTGGAATGGTGGCAGTAAACAGAATGAGCATACATATTTGTTAATTTTATTAAACAGCAGGCCTTGAAGGTCAGATGGGCCCGCTGTGCCTCTGCTGGACACTTCCTTACCTCTGTGGTGCTCACAGGTGTGCCTGGGGCTGAGGCCATCTGTCTGGGCCTGAGGTCACTGGGGTCGCCTGTGCCTAGAAATCTCTTCAGATACAGAAGAGGGGAGTAGGTGGAGGGGGTGGTCAATGAAAACCCTTCAGGAGGCTGAGGGGTGGGCTGTTTTTTTCCCCAGGGTAAAGACTTCTCGGCAGGGCCACACACTTCCTGTGTCTCTTCATCCCCTCAGGAGAGCAGTGAGTCTGGCACAGTGCCAACTGGACAGACAGGAAAACCTCTTCCAGTGGGACCCACGAGAGAAGGAAGGCCTGGGAGGTGCCCTGGGCCGCAGCAGAAAAGAGAGCAGGAAGGGTTGTAGCAAAAGCAGCACCCATGCCTTCCTGCTAGGTGTCACTCCAACTGGGGCTTTTAGTTATATCCCCCCCCCCCCACTTACAACATACATATGAATACAAACACCACCAGAAAGGGAGACTGTATCAGAGTCAGTGAGAGGAGAGAGGGAAGGGACTGGTCCAGCCAGATGGCACCCTCCTCCTGAGAACTGGTCCTGGCAGAGACCAGTGGCCGAGGAAGAGCTGCACCTGGTGACCCAGGCTGGGGCTGCCTAAGGGTCAGGAACAGGGGTTTGTCCAGCACAGGAGCCTCATGCCTGGCAGGTTTGAGCCAACCTCGTCAGTCTTTCTGGCCAGGACTCATTTCAGTGCCTGAAGGAGGGTCCAGTCTTGTGGGGTGGGTGGGGTTCAGGAAAGGGAGCTGACCAGCAGTCTGTCTCCCTATTGCTGTTTCCTATTGCTTCCAAGAGGTTTTAAGAGTGAAGCTCCTGCCATCTTGTGGCCGAAACTGGTACTCGCCTGAGTCCCGGTCCGGATGTCTTTCCCCTTCTCCCCCTTACTGCCAGCCCTAAATGGGAAGGGTAGCCTATGAGAACAGGAGGCTTCAGAGAGGTCTCTCCTCACAGTCCAGCCTCAACGAGCTTCTGGAAGGTTCCGAGTTTGGGATGGCCTTTCGTTCATACCAGGGCCATCATCTGTGAAAGAGAGGCTGTGGGTGGGCAGTAGGAGGAGCCAGGCCCTGTTCACCTTCCCAAGAGCAGACCCACCCACAGGAGGCAAAGAACAGACACATGGGTGACCTGGGAAGGGGGAGGGAACAGAAAATTTCCTACCCTCACCCCCTCGATCTCCCCACCCCTCGATCACACCGTGGCAGTATAATTGAGGCCCAAACAGGAGTCGCCTTCCCAGAACATGAAGCTCATATGGACAGGGAGGTTCAAGGGGAGGGGCAGACACCTCCACAGTGAGAGCACAGAGCTCTCTGAGGGCAAAGGCGTGTGTGTTTCTGGGCGGAGACCAGGAAGGTGTGGATGTCACTTGCTCAGGCCTTTAACTCAAGTGTGTAGACACAGCCACAGAAGGCAGAACTGTCATAATCACAGAGATCTAATCCCCTTTGCTTGCCCTGGGGGCCAAGAATTCAAACTCTGAACTTGGCTTTTTCTTTCTGCAAGCTCTCTGCCACCTGGAGCCAACAGCGTATTCACAGCTCAGGGCTGCCCTTTACTGCGATATTCCGTCCTTACCGCCACCCTGTGTCCCAGAGCCAGCTGCATGGCCAGATGCTGGTGGTGGTTTGATGGCCTGTTATCACTGCACACCCAGGACACGGGCCCATCCTCCTTGCAGTGAGGTCACCCTGACTAGAGTCACCATGCCAGCAGCCCAAACGTTCATCCTCCCGAGGCTCTGGTACCAGCAAACGAGCTAGCAGGGGTTTGAGCATGGACCAGAGAACTCTCAAGGAAGATCAGAGATGGCGTTCACAGAGGGAATTGGGTGTTCATGGACTCCTTTGAAGGCAGTTAGAGCAGAGACCTGGCAAAGCTCGAGTTTCTAGCATTTGGAGTCATCCCCGAACCCCAGAAACTTACTGCCTTGAAGCCTCAACAAAAAGTCCCTCCAAAGTGGCCAGGAGGACCTGTGGCAGAGTCACAGGGGAGCTGTCTGCAAGTGCCCGTACCCATCTGAAGGACTACGCCTTGCAAATTGCCATGCTTAGTGTCAGCCACTAGATTCTACTGTGGTTTCTCCCACGAGTGGGACAGAAAGTGGGTGGGTGCTGGCACTAGAACCTGGGCAGTGTGGTCCCCAGGCCACCCAAGCATGTCAGGATCGAGGCACGTGATCTCCTACACACTTTTTATATGGTTGATGACAATTAGACTTTCCTTCGGTGGCTGCTGTGAGCAGGAGAAATTAACACATGAAGTCTTTGCCCAGCGTCGAGCATATAGCAAACTCTCAAAACAAAAACAAAACAAAACAAAAATCCTGGCTGCCTGTGCATTGTGTGGTCCAGCTGCATGCCTTGACAAGGACCCTGGTCCTCGCTCTTTCCAGGCTTGCTTGGCCTGCGCATGCTGAATTTGCCCCCTGGTTAGGGGGACTAAGCCGAGAAAGCCCGAAGCAGTGGGTGACACTGAGAACAGAGATGAGATCCTCTGCCTGGCAGTTTTGAGGGTTCATCTCCGATATACCAACCGTAGCCCAGCCAGCACCCTCATCAACACACAGGCTTGGATGCTCTGGACTCAGCACCGAGAGCAAGTTTCTAAGGCCCTGTGTTCCAGTACTTCAGGGCACCTGGCAACAAGATAGAATAGGAGCACAGCTGAAATCCAAAAGGGAAAAGGCACTCTGCAGTCCGCAGGGAGTAATGTCTGTTTCCTAATCTGTCTCCTGCCCCAAATAGCGCCGCTCTCCTCCCCCGGCTTGTGTTGATGTGTTTCCTGCCTGGGGAAGCAGATGCCACCGGACTTAAACTGGGTCACAGAGGGCTGTGATGGGCTGACTCAGGCCCACAGGTCATGTCCTCTTCTGACTAGGATCTTCAGGTTCCTGCCTGAGAGCTCAGAGCGCAGACTCCAGGAACCATAGAGTGCAACCCTCTTTGTGAAGTGGGAGTGGGTGATGCCTGTTCCCGAGCTGGGGACATAGCCCCAGACTTGCCTGTCTCTCTAGTCCTCTTTTCTCCTGGAAAATCAGGAGCCTCAGGGTCCTGCTATCCTGGGGGAGGTTTGGAGCTGCCTTCCAAAAGTAGGGCTCCTGTCAGTTACAGGGTAGTGGGCAGAACATAAGTCACACAAACAAAAAATTTGACTCGCAGGCTCTAAAGCAGGTCAGGACACTCAGTGCCATGCCTGACAGCCTATGTTCAATCATCAGAGTGCCCATGGTAGGAAGAGAACACCGATGCTCACAAGTTGTGCTCTGGCCTCCACACGTGCATGCGCATGCGTGCACACACATAGTAAAGAGAAAATATCTTAAACTCTGATTCACACTCCATTTCAAGTACCAGTCCACCAAGGCAAGTTGGTAAGTACCCATGTATAATTATCTACCAGGAAAGGATAGGACCAGCACATGACCTAAGCCAGGTGTCCCCTACTGGCCACGCTCCCTCCTTCTCAGGAGTCCTGAGGTCTTTCCCTCTCTCTCCACAGGTTCTTTCAAAGCATGGCTTTGGCCCCATCACCACCGACATCCGAGAAGGACAGGAGTTCTACTACGCAGAAGACTACCACCAGCAGTACCTGAGCAAGAACCCGGATGGCTACTGCGGCCTTGGGGGTACTGGAGTGTCCTGCCCAGTGGGCATTAAAAAATAATCTCTCTCCCCGAAGTTGGCCCTGGAGGCTCCAGCAAAACCATGGCTGCTGGATGGAACGATACTGCTGTGATTCACATAAGCCAATTTCTAAAGAGCGCACACCACACAGGCATTGGCGGGAATCTGGTCACTCGTGGGGGTTTGATTTACAGGAAGTGCTATGACAAGCTGACAGATTGTAATTCGTCTTCTGTTCAGCCCGGGTGGGGGTAGAGCATGATATTTTGGTGGCTCATTTGGGATCTAAATGGAGGTGATGAATGCCCCGTGTCCACCTGCTTGGGCTCAAAGGGACACTACAGGTTCTGAGCAGGGGGAGGGTTGGGAGGGTGTGGGGTACTGGGACTCCTTGGTCTATGCTGATGTACCTCACCCACTCCCCTGCGTTCAGGTGCCTAACTCATTAATTCTGCAGGCTCCATGAATCATTTGCTATAATGCTTTGCTCAGCTAACCCTAGAAGTGTGTAAGGGGTTGCTCTCCCTCCTCCCTCCTCTTCTGGTAGAGAAAAGACATGAGTGGCCTTAATGAAATCTAACATTGTGCTTACAGCTATGGAAAAGCTTGTTCTAATAAAAATCTACACTTTGGTAATAGCAACTGCCTGTTGTGTGTGTGTCTTTTCTGGTTCAGGAAGGATATTTGAAGTATTGGAAAGGCACGTTAAGAGCTCAGGAAGAAAAGAAAAACAAAAACAACAAACCCTCCTGATTATTATCCCCTAAATGGGAAATAATATTACATTTTTTGACAAGCGTGCACCCCTCTGACCCTCTTTAGTAACACATAGTCATTTCAAGGTGCCTGTCACATGTTATCAAGGACAGTCTTTGCTCTTGAAGAGAAGAACGTTCTTGTCAAGACAAGAAGCCTTCACCATGTAAACAACCGAGTGGGTAAAAGTTAACCTCAGGTCTTGATGCAGGATAGAGCGATACTGACTCTGAGAGTCGTGGAGCTGTGTGCAGGGTCGTCCCAGCTAGGTGGAGTCATCGCAGCCCCCATAAGGTGGCAAACTTAAAGTGGAATAGCCTATCACACGCAGCAGTCTGCCAGGAACACACACACACACACACACACACACACACACACACACACACACGCAGAATTCAAGGTCAAATGTAGCAACCGATAGCTGTCAGGTCCTCCATCCTGTATGCTTCAGCTGATGGAAAGGTTGCTAAGCAGAAGGACCAGGAGTATAAGTGCTCAGGGCAGGGTTGGAGAGACCAAAAGGCCAGCGGGACTTGAGTTTGCAGAGGGAGCTGTGCAAGATAGGCAGAGCTGGCTCAGGGGGGATCACTGAGAAACCCGAGAATGAGTCTTTGCTGACTGGAGCACTAGGCAGTTCTGACTGCCCTGTGGCTCTTAACTGGGGCACAGTGAGTGAGGGTTATTGGCCCATGAGGGCACAAACTTGGCTGGGGGTGGGTGCATGCTCCTAGCCTCACTGTGGAGATGTGGAGTAAGGCAGGTTAGGGGCAGAGCTTCGGCTTGGAAGAAATCTGAGCACAGTAAGCTTGGGAATGAGCTGCAGACAGATGCCATGGAGCCACTGAGATCACGTGGGAGAGAATGAAGGTGGGGGAGACTGGGGAGTGGGAACCTCCAATAATGTCCGGAGATGTCTGGCCAAAGCAGTAGCTGAAGACCTTGAAAGTGACAGTTGAGACTGGCTGTGAAGGAACGATGTCCCCCAAGAAGAAGGCACAGGGCCCTCAACACATTCCAGGGAGCATTCTTTGAACCTTCCCCTAAGCCTTCCACAGAAGGAACTGGGGTTTTTACCAAGGTGACTCTGCTCTGGGCTGGCCCAGGCACCCTTAGTGTTGCCCTTAGTGTTGCAAACCACCGGTATAGGACATGAGTTCCAGGAAGGCCACCAGATAGAATCACAAAGATAAGTGGGGTCTTTTTTTTTTTTTTTTTTTTTTTTCTCGAGACAGGGTTTCTCTGTAGCTTTTTGGTTCCTGTCCTGGAACTAGCTCTTGTAGACCAGGCTGGCCTCGAACTCCCAGAGATCTGCCTGCCTCTGCCTCCCGAGTGCTGGGATTAAAGGCGTGCGCCACCACCGCCCGGCTGATAAGTGGGGTCTTTATTCAAGTCAGTCTCATGGGACTCATATCCAAGGTATTTCCCCACTCTCAGGAGACACCCAAGCATCCACCAGTCTTTAGTTCTGTAAACACCACACTACAACATCCACCTTATGTACATATATTGGCATATCTTGTTCTAGAAAACCCGCTGGCCCAATTCAGTCTCCTTGACTTGACCTTCTATACCCTCACTCCTCTTGACCTTCCCCTGAGAGTGTACTTGTTCGTACATAAACAAACATACAGTTCACATGTCCAGTCACCTCCTTTTACTGGATTCTAACATTCTTAGCCACTTTCTAGGTGCCCCGATACCACAGGACCTACAGCAATTATTCTAACTCTTCTCACAGCTGTGCAATCTGCTCGTCCTGACAGGTTCATCTCTTCCCATAGATCCTGCAGTAAGGTCTCCTCTGCCTCAGGACGGCCCCAGGGCTTCTCTAGGCAGGTCCTCATGCCTAATCTAGAACCTACAGGCAGCGAGTTATCTTTCTAACCTAATTTTCAGAACAGGATCTGACTAGGTAGCCCTGGCTGGCCTAGAACTCATTATGTCGACTAGCCTGACCGCAAATTCAAAGACATTGGCCTACCTCTGCCGGGATTAAAGGCACACACCACCGCACCCAACTGAAAAGTGGCCGGTTTTTATTTTGTTAAGATCTTATCTTGATTTTATGCGTGAGATTGCTTGCACATGTGTAAGCGCACCACACGCAGATCTGGAGGGTGTTCGAATGCACCAAGACCTCTTTGGTGGGCCCGCATATCATCTGCTGTGGTGTCTCATGGTCCCCAGCAGAGCGGTGCGTATTTTGTGGTTGCTGGCGGAATAGTCTACAGATGACGGCAGAGTCAGTGGAGGGCGTGGTCCAGGCCTTCTCGCGCCTTACCAGCAATCCACCTGCCTGCTTCATCAGCTCACAGGGGTGTGGAAACCCCCAACTTTCACGGTGGGCGTGTTTGTTTCTTCCTATGGTTTCCCTGAGTTTGTCTTGTGCACTTGGAGATTCTGTCCCTAGGTACAGGGACCGTTAAGGTTCTCACAGCTTCTTGATGCAATGACCCTCTTTATTTATTCATTCATCCTAGCAGCAAAGACTCATTTTTTTTTTTAAGAAGTCCTCTTTGGCGCACAGTCTCCCTGCTCTAGGAGGGTTCACAGGCGTGGTGGTTGCTCTTGGTTATCAGCTCGACCTGATGCAGAGGCCATCAAGAAGCAAGCTCCCAAGCACCTGTGAGGAATTGTCCTGGTTAGGAGAATCACATTTCCCTATATATAACACTTCTTCTGCTCTTTATTCTTCAGTTGATTCTTCTTTCTGCTCATATCCCTCTGCTTGCACTATTTGGTCCTTCCTGAAGTACACTGAGACATTCACTCTGCTTTCGTACAACTGGGGAAGTCCTCACTTCACTTTCTCAAATATATTTTTGCCTGATATAAGTTCTTTCTCGGTCAGTAATGTGTAGGCGTTTTCCACCGTCTTTTCCTCTCCTCTGCTGTGCACAGTTTCCAGGGAAATCTGCTGCCATCCTTTCTCTGCTCCTCTGTATGCGATGTGCATAATTTTCTCACCCATCTGTTGCTTTTATGATTTTCTCAATCAAGGAATTTGATCATACTGAGGAAAACTGTGCTGCTACAAGATAATGCATTATTTAAAAACCAGGCTGTTGCAGAATACGCATTTGCAGTTTCTCTCTGTTGACTCCTTCTTTTAACTTGACTCATGCTGGGAAGAGGGAACCTCAATTGAAAAAAATGTCTCCATCAAATTGGCCTATAGGCGAGTCTGTAGGACATATTTTTTTATTGATTATTGATATGGGAGGGCATAGCCCACAGTGGGAAGTGCCGCTCCTGGTCAAGGTGGTCAGGGCTGTAGAAGAAAGACTGAGCAAGCCATTAGGAGCAGGCGGGTAAGCAAGATTTCTCCATCAGCTCCTGCCTCCAGATTCCTGCCGACTTCCCTTCAGGAGGGAGTGTCAGCCATAAACTGAAATAAACCCTTTCCTCCTCATGTTGTTTTTGGTCACGGTGCTTATTGCAGCAATGGAAAGCAAACTAGGGCACAAGTCCTCAAAAACCTTCTAGTTGGTAGAACAATTTTCACAAGTCCAACATATGCCCCCATCCCATCTCTTTCTTCAGTAGCTAGCTGGTTAATCTGGCTTGGCCTCTCTGGGCCTTGGTTAGGTCACCTACCACACTTGACCTGTTATGAGGCATTGGGGCTTCAGCCTCTTTTGTCCCCACCCAGAAGGTGGATAGAGATTCACAGTCCCATGTGAATGCTTTAAACATGTGTTGTAGGAACAGGCTGGTGTGGGAAGGAGCTGTACGCTTCTCGGAAGGCTCCAATTCGCTATTCTTTTTAAACAGTCAGCGAGTGTGGCCTCACGCCTGTTTGAAGACACACACCCAGGACCTGCCCTTAGCCCTCTGTCCCAGATGAAATTAATGACATTGGAATTGAGTCTCTGTCATCTCGTGCTCAAATACCCTAGCAGACTTTAACAAGGAAGAATTAGGGCACGGCTCTAACGCAGCAGAGGAAAAAGAAATGGGCTGAGATCCGCAGGGAGCACTTTCTACTTCTTCATCTGTCTCCTGGCCCAAATAGCTCGGCTCTCCTCCCCCGGCTCGGGTTTGCCTGTTACCTTTCTCCCTCTTGTGGCAGATGCCAACAGACTGGTGGTCCTGAAGTAGGTCAGAGAGAACAGTGGTGGGAAGACACAGCCCCTGGCTCTGCCTGCCTTCAGGCTTAGCAGACTTTCTGTGGCATCTGAAGGTGATCCCTGCTCCCCAGAACCAATGGGCTCAGGGAGTCTCCTGCTCAGCCCCTGGGTTCACCTCTCTAGGAACAAGATTCTCAGATCCCTAGCTGGAAGGAGACAGGAAGTCCTTGACTATCCTCAGCCCTGTGCCTCTCACAGTCTCAGTCCCTTCTCATTGTCATTACACTAGAGCACCAGCAAAGCAGCATCAGAACAGCAGCCAGAAAGACACACTGGTTTCTAGGATGCTCATCACACGAAGGGCCTGTTTCAAACGTATAAGCTCAGGTTTGGGGGGTGCTCAGGTCTTGGGACACAGCTCAGCAATAGACTGTTTGCCCTACCATGCATGAAGTCTGAGACTCAATCTCCAGTGCCAAATACAGAGCTGAAATGATGGTCCAAGCCTGTCATTCCAGCACCCTGGAGCCTGAGGCAGGAGGATTTCCACAAGCTTGAGGCTAGTCTGGGCTACATAGCAGGTTCCGGGCAAGTTGCACCGCAGCATGAAACCATCTTTAAAAAATAAACAAAAATGCTAAACAACAAATTTAAACCAGACAAAATCCAGGTCAGGGCTCCTAGGGCAACTGAGACAGGAGAACTGTCCTGTATGGAGGACAAGTTTTCAGGTTAAACAAACCTCGTTCCAAGGGAAGACATGAAGGAAAGTCAGCAGATTGTTCAGTGTGGAACTGGGTATGTGGTGGATTTCAG